TACACATCTGTAGTCCCAGCACTCTGGGAAGGTGAGATAGAAGGATCCCAAATTTGAGCCTAGCTTGGGCAATTTAATGACTTAGCAAGATCCTGTCTCAAGATTTAAAAAGTGTTGGGGATTTAGCTCAGTGTAAAGCTGAGTTCAGTCCCCTGTACCAACACCAAAAAAGTACAAATGGCTAATATATATGTGAAAAAATGTCAACAGCTTTAGCCATCAGAGAAATTCAATTCAAATCAGAATTACATTAAGATCCCATCTCACCCATCAGAATGGCTATCATCAGGAATACAGGTAACAATAAATGCTGGGAAGCATGCAGGAAAAAAGGAACTCTTCTGCATTGTTCATGGGAGTGTAAATTAGTATACTGTATTTCCCCCAAAATAAGACCTAACCAGAAAATAACCCCTAGCATGATTTTTCAGAATGCTTATAATATAAGCCTTACCCCCAAAATAAGCCCCAGTTAAGATCGTCAGCCAGACCCATGCAACACATGATGGACATATTGAATTATAAAATATTATAAATATTGACATTAAAACTTAAATGATAATATAAATTAAGTATTTATAAATACTTAAGTGGGCACCTTTGGATGAGAGGTAAACAGATGAACTTGACTTACTGCCAAATGACCAGAGTACAGACACAACACAGAAATAATGTGCATACTTAATAATGGGCATGGTTGTATCTAATATGAATATTCATAATTCAATACATTGTGTATTGTAATGAACACATTTAGTGAACTCGTTAAGTGTTTTCTGCATTTTAGTGCCTGCAGTTTTTTGTTGCTTTTGTGTGGACCATCATTCTTTTTTTCTTTTTTTAAAAGTGTTTTGAGACAGTTTGAAACAGAGTCTTGCTCTGTAGTCCAGGCTGGCCTTGAACTCATGGCAATCCTCCTGTCTCAGCCTCCCAAGTGCAGGGATTACAGGCATACATCACCATGCCCGGCTAATCATTCTTAACTGTTAGCATTTTTGTGGCCACTCCTGTCTCAACACTTGATTTAATGGAAACTTTGTGAAGCACAACCTTCAAGAGGTCTTGACTTGGCCTTGACAGCTGTGTTGCCAGTACTGTACAAGCAGGTTACATGGATAAGAAGTGCTCATTTAAAGATAGCTCTGTTGCTGGACATGAGAGAGTGGAGCCAGTGATTCTACAGGAGGAGTCACAAGCAATTCAGGCCAAAATCAGAGTTTGGAGAGTAATGATGATGTTCCAGAAGATGACAAGACTGTATTTGAATAAATGTAGATATCTGTACATGAATAAATTTAGATTGTTGCACATGAAAAACTAAGACATTCCCTGAAAATAAACCCTTTTCATCTTTTGGATCAAAAAGTAGTATGACTCAGCCTTATTTTCAGGGAAATATGGTAGCTAGTATGAAAAGTGGTACAAAGTTTCCTCAAAAAACTAAAACTATAGCTCAGTGGTTTCACCGCCTGCTATGCAAGTGCAAGGACCCGAGTTAGATTCCTGGTACCAAAAAAATAAAAAATAAAAATTAAAACTAAAGCTACCATTTGATCCACCTAAACTACTCCTTGATATATTCCCAAAATAATTATAAAGTCACCATACTGTAGAAATGTACCCCACATCCATTTTTATTGTACTGCAATTCACAATAGCTAAGCTATGGAAACTGCCTAGATGCCCATCAACAGGTGAATGGATTAAAAAAAATACAGTATATATATACACAATGGAGTATTATTCAGCCACAAAGAAGAACAAAATCATTTCATTTACAGGAAAATGTGTGGAACTGGAGATGATCACATTAAGTGAAATAAGAAAGTCAGGTATCATATGTTTTCTCTCATGACCTGATAGTACGAGTGAGGCTTGGGGGAAAGTCTTAGTCACTTAGAAGCAGATTGATACAGGTGGGAGGAGAGAGGGGAGTAATGGAATCAGAATATGAGATAGGCATATATTATGCCAAAATGAAACCCACTAGTCTGCTAACTAATATGCACTATTTTAAAAGACATGAGACTTTTTTAATGTGTAAGATTATGGTATTTAAAATGCATAGTTGGGTGACTTCCTGGTACTCATGCTTATGTGTAGTCCCACCTCTGGAATTTGGGCTGATTCTGGGACTGGTTTTAACAAACAGCATGTTATATGGGCTGTTTGATTCATTGAAAGCTCCCAAAGGTTCGGCATCACTGTACAGCATAATGCCATGTCTCTCCAATCCTAAGGTACAAGAAGTCCTAGCAGATTCGAGTAGCTTTGGCATTCTTGCTGACCCTCATACACTGCTTTGTAGATACCATGTAGAAAAGCCAACTGGAGGGAGAGAAAGCCTTAGTTAAGACACCAGCTGACCCAACTGAATGTAGCCACAAGAATGACTACTAGCAAAAATAAGTAGAACCACCCAGGTGGACCCAGTTCAGAAAGAAGACCTGTGAGCAAATAATTGTATTGTAAAAGCCAATATTTTAAAGTAGTTTGTTAGGCAGCAACAGTTGGGTAGTTATATGGTACTGAGCATTGAGCCAAGGACCTTTATACTGAGCTACAACCACAGCCCTTTTCTTTTTAATTTTTTGAGACAGGGTCTCACTACATTGTCAATCTGGGCTTGAATTTGCAATCTTCCTACCTCATCTCCCAGAGTGCTGGGATTATAGGCATGTGCCACCATGCCTAGCTGCTGTTTTGGGTGTGTGTTGTGTGTGTTTTGGACTACTGGGGATGGAACCCAGGAGTACCCTACCACTGAGCTGCACCATTGAGCTACACCCCCAGCCCTTCTTCATTTTTATTTTGAGACAAGGTCTTGCTAAGTGGCCTGCCTACATGAGGCTCTAATTTATGGTCTCCTGTCTTAGCCTCCCTCAGAGCTGAGATTATAGGTGTGTGCCATTGTGCCTGGCATTCTCTTTCTTGAGTTAGGTGATGGCTATATGGATACACTAAGTCCTTGACTTACGAGCAAGTTCCATTCCAGAGAACATTCATAAGTCAGATTCATTTGTAATCCAACAGTGAGTCTTATACAGTACATCTGTAAAAATTCACAACTTGATTGTTCGTAAATTAAGGACTTGCTGTATTTGCCTTATAGTGAGTGATATGCTAAGCTACACATCTGTTTTGTGTGTTTTTCTGAACCAGTGTTTTATTTTAAAATTAAAATCATTTTAAAACTGGTATAGTGGTGCATACTTGTAATCCCAGAACTTTGGAAGGCTGAGGCAGGAGGAACTCAAGGTCAAGCCCAACTGGGGCAACTTGTGAGACCTGGCCTCAAAAAAGTAAAGTGCTGAGGATGTAGCTTAATGCAAAGGCCCTAGATTCAATCCCTAGTACCAACAAACTAAAGTATAAAGAATAAGTTTTTAAAAATAAAAGAATTTCTTTTTATCATTAGTTTGAAGTGGTTTGGTTACATTGTACTTTGATGTTGTTCATATTTCTTCTGTTTGGAGTTGTTGAGATTCTTAGATCTGTGGGTTTAGTTTTCATCAAATTGAAAGATTTTTCAACCATTTTCCTCAAATGCCTGTTCTACCCCTCACTTTGGGACTCCTGTTATCCATAGAGGAGGCTACTTGAAGTCCCATAGCTAACTGACACTCTTTTTTAATGTTTTAGATTTTTCTTTTCTGTTCTACGTTTCTTTTGGATAGTTTCTGTTGCTATGCCTTTGAGTTCAGTATATTTTTCTAATGTCTAATCTGTCAGTCCTATTCAATGTATTTCATTTCAGATATTGATTTGGGTCTTTGACTTCCAAAGCTGTGCTTAATTTTTAAAACATATGGAAAATAGTTACAATAACATCTTAATGCCTTTCTCTGCTAATTTTAACATCTGGATCAATTTCAGTTGATTTTCAAATGATTGTTCTATTCTATACACTGTGGGATGTCTCTTCCTTCCTTTTTGCATTCCAGGTCATCGTTGAATGGAGTTGAGCATTTCAAATTTTTTTTTTTTGAGGGGGGTGGTGCTGGGTATTTTGGTGTTTCTCTAAATCTTCTTGAATCTTTTAAAGGAATGGTACAGTCACTTGGAAACAATTTGATCCTTTCAAGTCTCACTTTATGATTTGTCAAGTGGTCTGTTGTAATGCGGACTAGGTTAATTGCTCTCCAGGCAAAACATTCCTGAATACCCAGAGCTGTGTGAATTATGTGTTTTTGTAGTGTGTGAGTGGGAGCAGGCACCAGTGGCCAGTATGAGTGCCCCCCCCCATACGTTCACGTAGTTCTTTCCCAGGCCTTGGGATACTGTATTTCCTCACCACACATGCAGCTGTCAGTACTCTGCAGAATACTTTGAGGGGAGCCCTTTGCACATTCCCAGGGCTCTGTACTGTTTGATCCTCTGGCATTCTGTCCTGTAATCTCTCGCTATCTTGGTCTCCCCAGATTCTCAGCCCCATCTTCTCAACTAAGGAAGGACTTGGTGTTCTGCCTCATTTTGCTGCCTCTGCACCATCACCTAGAAGTTTTCTAAAGGCAGTTGTTAAAGCTCGTTTCATTTCTTTCCTGACTTTCAGGATCATTCTCTTACATTCCCTGATGTCTAGTATCTTGAAAATAGTTTATTTATCCCCTTGAGCTTATTTGGGTCCCTTTTACTCCATCTTGGGTAGCAGGGTTTTGAGAGGTGAATAAAGCCTTTTTTTTCCTTCAGTATTGAGGATTAAACCCAGAGCCTTCCTTCCCACTGAGCTGTATCCACAGCCCAATTTTTTATTTTGAGGACAGGGTCTTTTGAGTCAGAGTTGGCCAGGCTGATTTTGAACTGGTGATTCTCCTGCCTCAGACTTTTGTAATCCCAAAGTTCTGGGATTACAGACATGTACCACCATGCTCGCATGCCTGTAAAAAACTGTTAATAAAACTCTTTCATGAATGTTTTTTCAAACACGAATTTTTTTTGAATTTTAAATTCTCTTCATGATAAATTTCTTGGCCTAAGTAAGTTTTCTTTTACCCTTACAGCTTGCCTCTGAATACTGATTTACTACAGAAGCCAGACTTCCTGGAAACTACCATTAGTGATGTAATTGAGGTATCAGACACCATAGAAACATCTCCAACACTGGATGACATTAACACAGCCACCATGCCATCTGGGTTAGAGGATACTAAAGTTGAATGTGGAAGTAAGTACATATTCTGTACCACATCAATGGCTTTTTATTTTATCTCCCTTGAAATGAGATACCTAAATTAGTTCCTTCAAGAATATTCTATGCAGTAGTTGAATTTTTAAATTTAGTTCAGAATATTTATGCTGCCTTGCCTTTTGGCTTAAGAGGACATTGAAATATTTAAGGTAATGTAATTAAGGCCATTAAGCCATTAAACATATGTATCGTTTATAAATCATTAAGCCTTTATGAGTTTTCATTCTTGGTTTTTACTTGACATCTTGAGTACAAATTAAGAAAAAAGTTTACTTAAGACACAGGATTGAGTAAATATTTGAACATTACATTAGCTCTTGGAAAGTATTTTGTTATTCAGGATTAATATTGTTGCCAAGTCCCAAAAGAAGAAATAATACACAAAGAATCTTGCTTTCCTTAATTTTTTCAGAGGCTAAAAAGAGAAAGTAAATTGTTCATTGGAAGTGTCTATATATTTAAGAATTTGGTTTGAGCAGAAAACATGAACTATTCTTAAATAGGAGTTTCAATTGAATTTTAGTATAACATGTATTCTCAAAGCAGCTTGTATTTATGTGGTTCTTGCCAATTTTGATTCTATCACAGGCTAAAATTAGACACGATATTTAAATAACTCACAGGAAATTGCCAGTCAGTGCTGTCATCTCTAAAGTCTATAGAGTACGGCAATAGTATTTAGTAACTTAGAAATAAGAAGTGTTAGTGAAGCTGAGGATTTAGCTCAGTGGTTCTGGTGCCTGCCTCACAAGTACAAGGTCCAGAGTTCAATCCCCAGTACCAAAAAAAAAAAGCGGTAGTGAAAAATCTCACAGTTCCATTTAATAGGACATGCTGAAGTGATACTGGTGAATGGGATTAAAAATTTGTTCTTTTGTTCCCTATGTAACTATGACAAATACACAGCTAAACAAATGTTCTGGTATACCATGCTGGTTGTTTTTATTGATGTCTGCTATGTTTAAGGTATGCTTGTTAGTCTAAGGTCAGGAAATTTTCATTTATTAATGGCAGTTTTAGAATAGTATAATGCAGATTTTTAAAGGTAATAAGTTATTAGATTAAGAAATTCTCCTTTACTATTCCATTGTACTTTGCAGTAATTTTTTGTTGTTGTTACTTCAGTTTTGACAGGCTTGCCCTGGACTGTAACTCATTAGAAATGCTTGCTCTTTGTTACTTGAAAGATGTGAGACATAACAAACAAAAGCTGTCAGAATTTAGATCCAGCTATTTCTAATGCAAAGTATTTCCAGGTTAAAATAAAAAGTCTCCTTCATAGAGATGGATTTCAGTTACATTCCATTTTATGTCCATTATATGAATTCAAGCAGCTTAATTCCTTCAGTGTTGTAATAGTATTGTATTAGCAAACACTGAGTACAGAGTCACTAGCAGATTGTACTAGGTTAGAACAACATACTGTAATGAGCCTGGGATGCCTAGAAAAGAAAAGATCAAATGAGATATGATAACTCTTGAAAGTCTGGTATATCATTGAATTTTTTATTGTGCTTTGTTGGTGAAACTTAGATGAGCAATTTTCAAGTATGGGAATGCAAATTGTGCATCAGTATAGTGAAGAAATTTTTTTAACTGTTTGCCATGGAATAGAAATAGATACATAAGGGTTAATGAGCTCCTCATTACAGAAACTATTCAAGGAGAGCTTATACTGTTGAGGTAGTTCCAGAAAAAATTCTATGGTATAAGGGTTTCATTCAGTTCAGATTTATGTGCTCAGTCAATGAGAATAAGTAGAGTTTTTTTTTTGTACCAGGGATCAAACTCGGGTCCTTGTACTTGCTAGGCAGGCGCAATGCCACTGAGCTAAATCCCCGGCCCAACTAGAGCATTTTTATGTTAAGACTTAAGGTCTTCTAAGTCTTGGTGTGCAATTTATTGTACATTTTATTTTGGTTATAATATCCTGATTCACATTGGTACAAATAGTAACTTGTTTTTCATTAACTTTATTGGTATTTTAGGTATACAATATGATGACATGTGTCATTGGGAATTTGTACCTTTACATGATATATCTTGGTTCTTATTTTTTTCCCCTTCCCCTGCCCTCCCTTCAACTGCAAATAGTTAACTTTTTTTTACCAGCTTATATGACATCTGAGCATGTTTGTCAGCCAAACAGAAGTAGCAGAAGCAGCCTTATTTCAACTAAAAAATAAATATATTTCTATGTATATATGTGTGTGTGTGTGTGTGTGTGTGTGTGTGTGTGTGTGTATAGTTATCAGCATAAACTAAAGCATTTCTGGTGTCAGCATCATGTTAAAATTAGTATCAAATAATTTGAAGCGTAGCAAAACCAGAGATGGGAATTGGATAAATGTATAGCAAAGATTTTGAGACTAGTGTTGAATTAGGCACTTTTTGCTTTGGTTTTAAAAGCTCTAGTATCAGAATCTTACCTCCTGAGACTTACATAATTATTCTAAGGTGAGCCCTGGAAATGAGTCTTTTCTGAAGGCTGTAATACTAATCTGCAACGAGGAAAGAATCCACTGGATTATTGATGCCACTTTTAGAAGATCTCTTTGACCCAGAGGACATGATTTCATAATCTTCTCCTCCCTTTTGCCTGATCATATAGAAATTATTAGGCATTCGACAAGTTTTTTGTCATGTGACAGTGTAAAAAATTCAAACTCACACCAAATTAATCCTTGCTATATAAGATTTTATCAAGGTGATTAAAGAGTTCACTTAAAGAGGAATTATTTTTATTATACTATCTTAGAGAACTTTTAAAATAATGTATCTTACAGCTACGGAAAACATTGGAAGACAAAATGCTTGTCCTGCCTTACACCTGATGGTTTCAGTATATCATATGTTGAAAGAATGAATATGTGTCCTTTTATCACTTTGCTCCAAATAAGTTTTAGGCAGTATGTAGTCAGGACCAGAAACGAAGACAGGGGCCGGGGATTTACCTCAGTGGTTTCGCCGCCTGCTGCGCAAGCGCAATGACCCGACCGAGTTCGATCCCCGGTACCAAAAAAAAAAAGAAATGAAGACAGCAAAGTACTGAGGTCAGACATGAACTTGAGGTGAGGTTATGGAAGAAAAGGACTATGTCATAAGTGTTCTGTGGACTTCAAGTCTCTTAAGCACATATGCTATTGAGAGTTCATATGCAGTTACTTTTTAGGAGCAGTGCTGACACGTTACACTACTTCAGATTACATAAATCTTATATTAATGGAGAGTAACCTGGTTATAAAAAGAAAATACATTTATTTTATGTTCATCTGGATTGTTACTTTTAGTGGATGTAATTGTTGAAAAACAAATCTTACATCTGTACCCTTACAGAACTGTGACAGCCTTGCAAACTGATAGGTTTTTTCCCCCACCATAACTTTTTTTTCAGCATTGAAAGATGCGTCAGAGAAGCTCAAACAGCTTGAGATAGAGAACAGTCCTTTGCCACCCCCCCGATCCAGCGTCGATGTTAACATCAACAGCCAGGTATTCAGATCTCTCTGCTGTCTATCTGTTACACATCTCTAGCGCTCCAAGTAATCTCTTTTTTTTAAAGATAATACTTTCTTTTGCTAGGAAATACGTGTCTGTTTGTGCTGAGCTTTTATAAACCTATTTTCTTAATTTAAAAGATGAAATTTATGAATGTTTAGGAGGAAAGTTGTACAACAGCATTAAGAATTGTAAAGTCATCTAATGGTTGTTTTTTTTGGTACCAGGGATCGAACTCAGGACCTTGCACTTGCAGGCAGTGGAACCACTGAGCTAAATCCCCGGCCCATAATGATTGTTTTTTAAACACAGTCAAAAGTGTACTGCTGTTAAACTTTTTATTTTGTTTCAGCCCATCTGGTTGAAGAACTTGCTAAAAGTCTTTTGAAATTATAGCAGAATTTATTGGAAGAGAGCTGCTAAATGAAGAATAGAATTTCAGATGCTTCATCTTCATCTTTCATTCCCTTCTCTGTCCTCTGAGTTTTATTATTTTTTTATTTGGCACAGAGTGAGAGATGCACACCAATTAAACCAGTTTATTTTTATAATTTTTAATATTTTTCTTATTTCTATATTTAATTTATAGGGATAACTAAAATAAGTTGAATGAGGTAGAAATTTTATAATTAATCATATCAGCTACCAGCTGATTTTAAGCAATGATCTGGGGAAATATTCTTTTTTCTATATATAGACAACTGATAACAAGGCCAAGATGACTTCTGTTTCTTTTTTAAAGAAGAAAGGGGATGAATTGATTTGCTTTGTTCTGTCATCCTTGTATAACTAAGTAATTTCTTTAGAGATCAGTATAGAGTAAAAAGTGACTATCCTTGCATTATCATTGCTAGTATTAAAAATGTCCTTCTAGATCCAAATCCATCCTTCCTTCCTTTCTTCCCTCCCTCCCTCTCTTCTTCCTTTCTAATTTTTTCTTAGAAATACTTTTTAGAACCTGAATTTCAGAAAGCCTTTCCATTTTCTTGACCCTTCAGTATTGATTTTATTTGTCTGTTGGCCTTCACAGTTATAGTTTGTTTATATCTTTGTAAGGTAGACAAATGCAAGATCAGAAACAGAAGGGTAAATTGAAAACTTAGATGATTAGTGAAGAGTAAATGCCCTACATACCTTGCTGTAATATTACTGAGCCTCTGAGACAAAGAATCTGTTACACTAATTTTGATTGTTTAAAAAATGAGGATGGAGTATGAGTTCAGGATACAAAAGGAAGTAAAAACTGAGACAAGAGCAGTGGTGCTGAACCTGTGGCACACATGCTGCAGTGAGCACACCAAGCCCTCTCTGTGGGCACATGAGCCAGGTCACCCCAGCATCAGATAGATAGCAGCACACATAGGAGCAGTGTTGGTGCTTTGTGATAAGTAAGTGGGTTTTGGTTTGCAGTTTCAGTACTTGGTCTCTAAAAGATTCACCATCACTGGACTAGATGAAGGACAGTATGACATTAAGAAACACTTGGAAGAGCAAATAGCTAGGAAAAAAATAGCTAATATTTAGTGAGGGACTGCTCCATGCCAGGTAAGAATAGAAAGAAGAATTCAGTGTTGTACTAATACATAAAGAACACCAGACTACACAAACTGTAGTTAGTAAGTGTGTTGTCAAAAAGTTGATTCATGTTTTATTAACATGACACATTTTTAATGCAGGCTAATTTTCTACATCAACAGGTGGTGTTTGCTTAAGGAATAGAAATTAATTTTAGTGTCAGTCTTACTAATCAAACTATTTTCAGGAAGAAAACCTACTCTAAAATACATTATTCTGAAGCAAAATACAATTACTGAATGACTAGCTCTGAAAATGGTGCAACCAAGAAAGTATGAGCCAGTGACATAATCTTGAGGTTCAGATGAGAACTACTGGCAGAGTTGGCTGTTTCATGAGAACCCGTTGCAGAGAGCTCTATGCCACAGCAGGCCTGTATTGCACGGGACTGATAGACACCTGTGATGTTTTTATACTATTGACTCAGTTCTACAATGTGTTTATTGTGTACTTTTTGTAAGATAGAATATTGTGTGGAGTTCACAGATGAATGACAAGGTCTTTGCCCTCAGGAAACTTTAAACTTGTGCCAAAGAGCCCCATAGAAGTTAGTATTTCAAATGGCCACTCCAGTGATCATTTTCTGTTCCACATCTCTTGAGCTCATGGAGTTTTCAAATGATAATGTCTGAGAAGTACAGTTATTTAAGGCAAAATCAGGATTCATGAAGACTTTGAAAGGCTGGAATGATGGACTGAATTTAAGAAAATAAGCCCTTACAAGTATAGGATTAAGGTGAGGGGCTAGAATATACTAGCAACATGTGTGAAAATAAATTAAGAATATATAAATGCAGTATTAATCAGCTGCAGAACAGCTTTGATGTATTAATTAAAAGAATTTAAGAAGGGAAGTCCAACTTGGCATGGTAGCACATGCCTGTAATTCTAGCACTTAGGGAGGCTGAACCAGGAGGATCAAAAGTCAAGTCCTGCCTGGGCAACTTAGCTAGAATGTGTCTCAAAAAGGGCTGGGAATGTACCTGAGTGATAGAGTGCCCCCAGGTTTGACCCCCCCATACCACAAAAAAGGGGTGGGAGAGTCCAACCATAGTACATATTTTGTTTGTTTCTGGATATCATTATTTTAAAGTGATACAGAAAAAAAATCTGAAGCAGTTTGAGAAGATTCCATATGGTGAAGGGTCTTGAAACTAAGTTATAACTGGACATTATGAACTTGAAGATCACCATGTAGAAATCTCAGAAGAGAGGACTTTAGCCATATTTAGTTATCTGAAAAGCTATTATGTGAAAGATGAATTAATGTGACTTGTTTTTTAATAGCCTCAGAGAAAAATTAAGGTCAGTGCATATGTTAGAGGCATGCAGATCTCACTTTAACATAAGAAGCATTTTCTAGGAGCCATTGGCAGATTGAATGCACTGACCAAGGAAGCAATGATGCCAGAATGCGAGGTTCCTCAGGCTAAGACAAAAACCAAACCACCTTTTGCAGTATTTCGGTGGTTAGATGAACTGTTGGATTATGCTGTCCACTTTAAGATGTCATGATTCTAAGGATCTTCATAGAGATTGTTCACTCTTGGTGCCTCCTGCTTTCCATTTTCTTGTTCTGTGTCTTTGAACTCCTTTAGGGGTTATACTATATCAAGTCTATAGATTTTTCACTTTTCTCCCCTCAATTATCTGGGGCAATCCAGAATTTGTTTATCACCAAATTTCATTTTAGGAATCATATTTTTTCTTTGATGAATAATCAAGTTTAAGAATGCTTTAAATAGGGCCGGGGATTTAGCTCATTGGCACCATGCCTGCCTTGTAAGCTCAAGGTCCTAAGTTTGATTCCCGGTACCACAAAAACAAACAAAAAACAAACAAAAGAATGCTTAAAATAACAGAATCTACACTGCATTTATTAGCAAGAACAGTGGACAGTTAACGTATACATAACGTTTAACAATTAAATCTTCTGGGGCTAAAAGATTAAAGGCAGGGCATGAAGACTATTAGAGATTGACTATTTCCATAAAGGGGCAGATAGTAAATATTTCAGTCTTTGCCAACGATGGAGTCTGTGTGTCACAGCCACCCAATTCTGCCATTGAAGCACAAAAGCAACATAGAAAAATGAGCACTGCTATGTTATTTACAGTGACAGGTGGTGGCCCAGATTTGCTCTGTGGGTTGTAGTTTACTGATTCTTTCTCTTGGTTAGAAATTTAACCTTGCAACAGGGTGCTACCTCATATTGGTTCTTTGTAATTAAAAAAAAAAATAGAGAGGGTCTAACTATGCAGTTCAGGCTGGCCTTAAACTTGCTATAGTCCCAGATGTATCTTTACCCTTTTCATTTACTTATTATCCAAACATTGAAAGGATATAAGTAAAAAGTAGTCTTTCCCCCCATCCCACTTTGGACATAGAAGGTATGATGAGAGATCCAGTTTCACTTTGGGGAATGAAGGCAATCTTTAGACTTTACTCACACATAGGAAGTCCGCACTTACCCAGGAGTCAGTGGGCTAGCTGGTCCATACCACTTAACTAGTAAACAAAGATATTGCTTTTTAAGATGTAAAAGTACATATATATATATATATATTTTTAGACAGGGCCTCACTATGTAGTTTGAATGAGCCTTGATTTATAAAAGACATAAAAGACTTTTTCAATTAGTAGGAACCATTCTGAAGACTTGGAGGTCATAGGTATACAGTCTAGACTAAAGAAGTGATTCTCAGGCTTTAAGTGTATCAGAGTCACATGGGGAAGCTTGTTAAAAATTCAGATTGTAGAGTATCACCCAGGAGCAGATGTGGGAGACCGTATTAGAACACTAAATTAGAATAAACACATCCATTAAATTTTCATTTTTCAAACCTGAAAGGTAGAATATATAATCCTGTACCTGGAAGCCAGCCTGTTATTAACAATTGCTATTTAAGGTAACCAAAACATCTGTTGTAGTGTAGATAATTTGAATTTTTAAAAATTTAAAATTTTCTGCTTTCTCCTATTTATATCTTTTCACAGTAGTTAATTTTCATTGTTTTAATTATGTTCTTCATTGACTGAACTTTTGTTTTATTTTTTTCATAAGTCTATATCTAAGAATGACCTGTTTATGGCCCTGTTACTTGAAATCCCAGACACGGTCATCTCCCTTTGCTACCAAAATGAAATCTGATTAGTAAGAATCTCTAGAAATCCTTGGATTCAATTTCCTGTCTTTATGCAACTGAATAAATCACCTGAACCATCAAAGACAAAGGCACATGGAGAATGTGTGATATTTGCATTATTAATTCCAATTGGATTAATTCAGAGGCTAATTCTCTAATTCTGGTAGATGTTGTAGGAATTGACAATACCTGGAATGAGGTAAAGCTGCGTATGACATATTTCTTGATAATATGAATACGAACTTTCATCAGTCCTTTCCTATTCCCACATAACTTTAGCCTGTCAGGGCTAATTGCAATAAATTTTACTATTTAGGCAGAAGTGGTGAAGTTGACTGAGAAATGTCTTAATAATGCCATTGAGAGCCCAGGATTGAATGCCATGAGAGTTCCTCCTGATTTCAAGAGTAACATTTTGAAGGCTCAAGTAGAAGCAGTGCATAAGGTAAGCTACCTTTAATAGACACACTGCTGATGAAATGAAAAGACATAGGATTTAGTGACTAGAGATTGTATGTGATACCAAGGACCATATTCAAAACAATGAAATGCCCTCCTCAAATCTAAATTCAAGTAGAGCTCAATTGAGACAGCTCAATTAGTCGTGAGGTACAAGATCTGAGTAAAGATTTTCTGGTATATAACAAGCTTTAAAAAGCTCAATTCTTTTAAAAGTAGGTCTCATTTTTTTTCACTTTTTTTTTTCTAGTACTGGAGATTGAACCCAGGACCTTTGTACTGAGCTACATCCACAGCTCTTTTATTTTTGATTTTGAGACAGGATTTCACAAAATCATTAAGTTACCTAGGATAGGTTCAAACTTGTGATCCTCCTGCTTCAGCCTTCCAGAGTCCTGGGATTGCAGGAATGCATCACCACTGCTGGCATTTATTTTTCCACTTTTGCAGCCAGAAAACTCAGGGATTTTTTTTTTTTTTTACTTCCTTTCAATATTAAGTCTGTGATTCTAGGTCTGCCTTTATCCATGTACTAGTCTCACCACCCACCTGCCCTCACTTTGGCAAAATTTTAATATTATTAGCAACAAGAGTGAGGTGCAAGGTGAAGAGTAGTCTGTGGCATGGTGAAAGATAATGAGTATGGCCAGCCTCCGGGAGAGATGTGGCAGCCATACTTTCCAAATCAACTTTTCCTTGGCTCTCCTTAACTTTCAGACTTACCCTCCATAATTAAATAAACCAGGACAAAAGCCTGTCTCATCAAGTTAGCTTATGAACTAGGATTTCAACATTTCCTGTTGTTGAAAAGATGTGTTTTACCTGTCCTCTACCCATGCCCAAACGTTAAAGAGAACTGAGATGACTTTAGGAATATTGTTGATGCTTTTAAGCTCACCTCTCACCCCAAAATAAACCATAATATAAACATAAAAATAAATATAAAATATTACAGTATAGGCTCTAAAATCCTGTTTCTCTCCTACCACCTACCAACTTTGTGACTTGGAGCAAATGAGTTCATTTCATTGAGCCTCAGTTTAATTATGTTTAAAGTAAGATAATAGTAATACCTACCTTAAGGTATGCTGTGAGGATGAAATAAGATACAGTGCCTAGCACATAATAAGCATTTAAAGAGTGTTGACCACCATAGTGATAGTAGCAGTAGTCTTAATAGCCGCTGTCATTTACTGGTCTGTGTGTTTTTGTGTCCCCTAATTTGTGTTGCAACTTAATCCCCAAAATAATGCTCATGGTAGTAGAACCTTTGAAAAGTGATTAGATCTTTTCTTTTTCCTTAAATTCTTTTATTGGTACATTTTGGGTATACAATGCATTTATATTTATCATGGGAAACTTGTACCTTTACATGATGTATCTTGGTTCTTATTTTTTCCCCATTCCCTGCCCTCCCTTCACCCCCTCCACACTTCCCTATTTACAAAGACTTTGTTTCCAATTTTTCCATTTCTCATAATTTTTTCTTTCCCTTCTTTCCTTTCCCCTACCCCTTTGGACCCTTTCTTCCTATTTCACATTATCAATTATTCATTGTAATCATTGGTACATTTCAGGTATACAACATAATGACATTCATCATTGGAAACTTGCACCTTTACATAATCTCTCTTGGTTCTTATTTTTCCCCCTTCCCCTGCCCTCCTTAAGCACCTCCATCTCTCCCTATTTACAAAGACTTTGTTTCCACTTTTTCCATTTTCTCATATTAATTCCATTCCTTTCTTTCCTTTCCCCTACCCCTCCCACTTCCCCTTCCTCTATGCCCCTTTTTTTCCTATTTCACATTATCTTTTATACCTTTTAGTCCTTATTTACACTTTGTTTCTCACACTAGAGAAACTCTTTGGTATTTACACATGTGTGTCCT